AGATCGATGAACTTTCGATCGATCGAATATTTCTTGAGATCGATCGAACTTGCTGAATTTCCACCACTTGCTTCATTTTGCTCCCACGTTGCTCCTTTATTTGATTCTTTTCAAGATTGCTTCAATTATGCTCTTATTTAGCTGAGTTAGCTTATTTTGGGGATAAGTACCTGAAAATGGAAATAATGCAAAATCAGTTTAAGACAGGAAAGTAAGATAGATAATGGTTCTAGAATACCTAAGCTTAAGGGGTTTAAATGCATATTTTTCAGCGCTCATCATTGCAGCAGAAGGGTTACACCTAGAGTAGTTAGATGTCAAAACTGATTTTCTCCATGGTAACCTAAAGGAGGAGATTTATATGCAACAACTGGAGGGTTTCTCAGTCAAAGGGAAAGAGAAACTAGTGTGCAAGTTGAAGAAAAACTTGTATGGGTTGAAATAAGCCCCGAGGCAGTGGTACAAGAAGTTTAATGGTTTTATGAAGCGACATGGCTACAACAAGTGCAATGCTGACCATTACTGCTACTAAGAGGTTCAAGTCAAGTTTTATTATCCTTCCACTTTATGTTGATGACATGTTAGTGGTAGGTCCTGATTTTGAAGAAATCAACAAATTGAAGAAGCAGTTGTCTAGTGAATTTGAGATAAAAGATCTTGGTGCAATAAATCAAATTCTTGGGATGAGGATTAACAGAGACAAGTAGAAAGGTATTTTGCAGTTATCTCTGGATGAGTACGTTGAATGGGTTTTGAAGAGGTTCAACATAAATAATGCTAAGGCGGTGAGTACTCTCTTAGCTAATCACTTCCGATTATCTCAAGATCAGTGTTCGAAGACAAAGGATGAGAAAAACTTCATGGCTAAAATTCCATATGCCTCAGCCATTGGAAGTTTGATGTATACCATGGTGTGCATAAGACCAGACATTGCATATATGCAGTGGGAGCAGTAAGTAGGTTTATGTTGGATCCGGGCAAGCTACACTAGGAAGCAGTGAAGTGGATATTAAGATATTTATGGGGTACCACAGATAGATGGCTATGTTTTAGAAGGGTCAAAGTGAAGCTACGTGGTTATGTAGATTCAGACTTTGCTGGTGAGGTGGACCACAGAAGAAGTACTACCGGGTATGTGTTCACGGTGGGTACAACTGCAGTTAGTTGCGTTTCGCAAATACATAGGATTGTAGCATTATCTACTACAAAGACAGAGTATGCAGTGATGACAGAGGCCAGTAAAGAGATGATTTGGTTACAAGGTTTGTTGACAAAGTTGGGATTCGAACAGGTGAAGAATGTTTTGCATAGTGATAGTTAGGGTGCAATACATCTGGCAAATAATTCAGCATTTTATTTAAGGACCAAGCATATAGGACTTCCGTATTGCTTCATCAGATCTTTGTTAGAAGATGGGGTGTTGACATTTGAGAAAATAATTGGCACTAAGAATCTGGCTGACATGTTGACCAAGACAGTGATCGTGGAGAAACTGAAGTTGTGCGCTGAAGACAGAGAGAAGCACACCGACATATATGAGAAAAAGATAAAATGGGTTTACAAGTGCTCCAGCCTCTAAGTTGGAGAATGTTGTGGTTTTTGTGGAGTCTTATTAAGTGAAAGATTTTTAGGAAGATTTAATTATATGGTGTTGGGGTTGAAATTCGTCTCGGCCTAGTGCGACACCGTTTCCTATAAAATAAAGACGGTTGAGTCAGGCACCGGTGTGGTGCCCGCAGTAGACCCTTCGACGATCAAGTTAGTGGGGGTATAGAGAGAGAGAATTAAACTATAATAGCTGAAATAGGATTTTTGTATCATACCTTATTCCAGGGTCGCCTCATATTTTTGGTTTCTTGCTGATATAGTCAGTTAAGTGTATCTCATTATTAAAGATTTGATTTATCTTCAATACAACTTCCTTTATCCTTGTTAACTGTAATACTCCTAATTTTAAAAGGATAGTCTCGGTATTTTATTAATTTTTTTAATTGTGTTTTTATTTCTTTATTTGATTTCTTGGCTATTTGTTTAATTGTTTATATGAATTAATTGATTATGTGTTTATTTGAAATACTTGTTTTGTTGATTTATGTGTTAGATGATGTGTATTTGTTTACTTAAATGTTAGGTGTTTTCTTATAATTAATGGTTATGAATTAAATGTTTTAAATGGTTGTTTTATTTTATTTTATTCTAATGGTTATGGATGATAGTCATGGGTCAATCAATTGGGTTCCATGGACTAATTGGATAAGGGCTTTAATGGGCACAGATAATTACCCATGGATAGTGTTTATTTATATATATATAAATAAATATACATATATATATAAGGAAAGTCCTTTAGTGATAATCTAATGTATTTATTTTATTTATATAAAAATAATATACATAGATTATACGTAACATATATTTTAGTTACCTTTTTATTATTTTAAGTTTATTATTTTCTTTATTAATTTGACGTGGATTGGGAAAAGGAGTAGGGTTATTATTTAGCCTATAAATATATAACTATAGAGTTGAAAAAGAGGACTAGAAATATATCACGTATTATTTTTAGAGAGAGAGAGAGAGAAAGAAGGAGGAAGAAAGAAGAGGAAGAAGAAAAAGGAGGCTAGGGTTTTTATCAAATCCCTAAAGGCAAGTTCTTGTTCTACACTTCTCCTTTGATCTGTGGAATTTATATCTCTAGTATAATCTTAGGATTGTTTGAAGAACAATTAAAAATGGAATTTATAATATAATTGATCTAGAACATAGGTTTTATAAATTATATTTTTCATGGTTGTTCTTGTTGTATGAATTGATAAATTCATAGATTTGATTTGATTTCTTTATGAGTTTATATATGTTTTAAATGATGTATTTTTATATCTGAGTATTGACGGAACCTAGAAACATGCCTTAGAATTCTTAAATAATAAAGATTGGGTTCACAGTAGAATTTTGGGTTGAATCGCGTAAACAGTGTTTGATTCGTTGATACAGTGCTAGAGCTTTGGAGGTAAAGCTCGAGCCTGAAAAGAAAAACTCAAGCCTAAAAAGAAAAGCTCGTGCCATAGGTGAAAAGCTCGAGCCCGAAACAGGAAGCTCGAGCCTGAAACAGGAAGCTCGAGCAATTAGAACAAAAGCTCGAGCCTTATCTGGGGAAGTTTCGTAAACAGCGTTGAATTAATTTTAATTGAATTTGAGGGGTCCTAAATATCAACTAAAGACTAGATATGAGTTTAAATAAATTCTAAACAAACTTAAAATATAACAATGCATGCTATTTGATTCTTTGAGGAATGAATGGATTTAATTTTATTTTGTTCTAACAATTAAGATTAAATGTGTAGCATGAATTGTATTTGGAGAATGCTTACTTGACTGTATAGTAAAATATCAGCATGTTTAAGATTCAGTTTGTATAGGATATGTGAAGTAGGAAGCTTAAATAAATTATAAGTCATTCCTATTTTGTGACAACATGATATTATATTATTATGTTTATTTCTGGATTATTTGATGTACTTCTTTAATTGCTAATACAACTATTGGATTGTGTGGATGTAGTGCACCAGTATGGGATGGTGGCACTCTAGGGATGGATTAACTTATCAGTTAAGTCCTACCTATTTTATAAGGGAACAGATTAACTAAAATGTTAAGTCCTACTTATATTTGTGTCAGGTCAACTGAACAAGTTGGATGATACATAGTGGATTACTTTAGATTTGATAGAATATATTTTATGTATATATATAGACATATGCCATGATATGTGACAAGTCTTGCCCCTTCCTCTAAGTGATTAAGAAAACGAACTTTGTAATGCGAGAGGTCACTTCGTAAGGTCAAAATATGATTATGGTTTAGGAAGTATAGCGAGTAGGGATCGTCCGCAGGGATTATACGTGTTGGAATTTAATTTCGACTCTAATGTACCAATTGATTGCAAAGAGAGAGATTGGTTGATTAAACTAAGATGTAAGGAAATTAAAATGTAATAAAAATAAACTAAGTTGAGTTAGGGATTTAAGAGATGAGAAGTGAGGTCTTGGGGTCCATTGGAATTGCCACCAAGCTTGATCACCAAACCACACACTTTCAACTAATTTAGGAAAAATCTTCTTGTGATAAAATGTGACTACTAATTACAATATTAAGCATGGACCATCAAATTCATGTATGAATTGTCTACTTAACCGACAAATAAACTAAGTGTAGCGCAACCCATCAATTTTAAGCATGACCCATCAAACTAGTCATAATTATAGCACATATCAATCTAGAGAATCATAGAATTTGCAATAATAAGTCATGGAATATCAAATCAAGTATAGATTATCTACCTACCTACAAGCATGAATTAAATTATAGAACAACCCATCAAGCATAAGAATAATCCATCAAAATAATTGACAGCCCATTCAATGAAAACCATGGATAACCATCACTAGATCCTTAACTAATCACACATAGACATGCAACCAACATAGAAAAACTAGTATAGAGATCAATTCCTAAATAATCACACATAAGACAATATCTAATCACAAAGAGAATCAATAGGAAGAATTAAACTATATGAATCATGTGGGACATAATTCCCAATTTAATCACACATAGACATGCAAATAAACTAGAGAATTAAAAGGAAGAATTAAATCATAGAAATCATAGAAATAAACCAAGATTCATTTTATTCACAAGACTGTAACACTAATCACAAGATAAATTTCCCAAAAAGTATGAAAGAGATAAAGGTTTAGATTACAAACTTGGGAATCATCCAAGCCCTAAGGAGAATTCTAGCCAATCATGGAGGAGGTGGGTGTGATCTTGGAACCCTCAAGGGCAATCCCCAAACACGGCTCCATCTTCTTCCTCTTCTTCTTTGTTGAATTCTACAGAGAGAGAGTGGTAAATCTTGAGATGTGTTCTTGGAGCCTCCACTCTTCTCTTTTCCTCTAACCCTAATTTCTAACTTTTCTAGAGTGATAAACTAGCTATTATAATGTAAAAATTAAAATAAAATTGAAGACAAAAGATTTATTACATAATGGTTCAATTCCCCCCTTTATACAAGGTCCTTAGAGTAGTGAATAAGTCAGAAAAGAAGCCCATAAAATATCCAATCCCGCAACTATGTGGTAGGTAGAGTTCGGGTGCATGGGAATAAAACAGCTTGTTGCAAGCACATTTTCGATTGATCGAAGAAATCTCCAAGAAATCTTCAATCGATCTAAAAATTCAGCATTTTTGACCTTTTTCTGAATTTTTCTGAAATCTTCTCGGAACTTCTGCTTGACTTCAAAAAGGCTGTAATAGACGATTTTTAGCCCGTTTAAACCTTATTGACCTGAAATAGACAAAAACACAAATAAGTACTAAAATGAAAAAATAAAGATAGAAGAATAGACTAAAATACCCTCGCTTAGGTGCTAAAATGCATCACATTTGAACACTCATCAATATGAGCTTGAGCCTCAGGATCAATGGATAGGGTGCATATATTGCCAGGGATTTGTAGCTAGATATAGTGTGGTTATGTGCCCTGGTAGGTCTAGGTACTATTGCCCACTATATGTGCGTTTTGCATGTTGCCTACTATTCAGGTTGAGACAACCCTATAGTCTAGTGAAGTTCCTTTAGTGTGCATATGTATTATGGATAATATAGTTATTGCATAGGTTAGCTATAGATATATAGTTTCTTCAGTCTCTGTTTGGGTTGTCGTAGAAAGAACTTGTTCGTGGGCCTGACCCACTATTATTTTCCAGGTGTTCATCAGTTTCAGACATAAAGCTTGTTCGTGCTGAGCAGAGATTGTCCACGCCACTCTTCTAATTCTATGTAGGATTCTCTTTATGTTTTAGTTTTGGGATTTATTTTTCCTTTAAATTGTTTTAGTTGGGTTATCATTAGGGGTCCACTAGATGAATTCCCGAGTTGTAATGATATTAAAGGTTTTGGATTTTTTCATTTGGGGAATTTATTATTTAGTTTTTCTTTTCTGCTAATTTATTTATTCTTAGTTATTTCTTTTGTAATCAAATGCTTGTTTATACAGTTAATTTTTTGGTATCCCTTAGATCGATGCTCAGACTTGATCAGCCGTGGCTCTAGAATCGAGGGTATCATAGTTGGTATCAGAGCACTCTAGGTTTAAGTATCTTTAAGGATTTATCGTTTTAAGACTTCCGCATAGCGTATTTTTTTTATTTATTTAGAGCCTAAGTTTAGGATTCATTTTATTCCTTTACGGTCCGCTTAAATAGTATTGATGTTGGTGTTTCTATGTTAACAGAATGGTTAACGCTAGAAGAAGATGAGACAATCAGAGAAACAGGCAACGAAGAGGAGCGTCACGTAGGTAGTAGGAATTCATACGACGTCAGCAAATAGAGGAAGAGTAACAACTGTCTGGGTTTTAAGAGGAAGTTGGTTAGTTGCACATTAAGCAAGATGAAGTACAACAGACTACTTAGGAGTCTCAGGACGAGGGCTATAATCAGGGTAGGGATCCAGAGTTTCCTCCCCATATAAATGACCTCATTACTCGGGCTATAGAAGTAGGTATAGTAGCTACACTTCGCAATCAGCCACAGGTTCAGCAGGCACCTATCCCAGCACCAGTAGTTCAAATTGATCCTTGGGAGAAGGCTAGGAGTTCTTTCACAAAGGGGAGCCCACTTGAGTTCTTAGGCTCCACCGATGCAAAAGTAGCTCATCAGTGGAAGAAGGACATTGAGCGACATCTTCGCATGGTTAAGTACATAGAGGTTCAGAAGCAGATGCTTGCTACCTTCAAGCTTGTTGGAGATGTACTCCAGTGGTGGGAGTCATTACCAACGCGGAGGAGAGGACTTCATTGACCTATGATTAGTTCAGTGCTCACTTCAATGAGAAGTACTTTCCATATGCAGTCAGGACAGCTATGAAAATAGAGTTCCTTAATCTAAAGCAAGGGAACATGACGGTGGTAGAGTATGAGCAGCAGTTCACACGCTTATCTCTATTTGCTTTAGAGGAGGTGGATACTGAGGAGAGGAAACGTAATAGCTTCGTTAAGGGGCTTATGTGGTCTATTAAGCGATCTATTACAGGTAGTCCAGCCTACACTACTTATGCTCAGGTGATGGATGCTCTTTACGGCAGTATTAGTTGACTATGGGCTTCAGACAAGCTAGGGGTGAGAAGCGGGGTGACAGAGACTCTGATAATCAGCCAGCTGAGAAAGGGAACGGCAATTGACACCGACACAATGATAAGGGCAAATTCCAGGGACAACATTTTTGGAAGAAGCACAAAGGTGGTTCAGATGCTCACAGAGATGGGGCACCTATTCAGAGGTAGCAGAATGAGGGACCATAGGTAGGACAAAGTCAGCTACAGGTGATGAGCGCTGAAAATTGCCCATTTAAACCCCTTAAGCTTAAGTATTCTAGGACCTTTATCTATCTTATTTTCCCATCTTAGACTAATTTCGTGTTATTGCCCTTTTCAGGCACTTATCCCAAAAATAAGTTAATTCAGCCAAATAAGAGCTTAAAAAAAGCAATCTCAAGCTGAATGGAAGAAATGAGCAAAGTGGAAGCAAAGTGTGGAAAAACAGCAAGTTCGATTGATCTCAATAATTCTTCAATTGATCTGGAGGTGATCGATCTAGATATTTCAAGATGGATCCAAGCCTTTTTCCTTATCTAAAAGATTCCCCCACCTTTGATCGATCCAACTTTCCTCAGATCGATCGAAATTGTTTGATCTTATCCTCACCTACCACCCCACCTAACACTTTTGTCTTTTTCCCAAAATATCTTACAATATCTCAAAGACATGTCTTTATTCAAAAAGGCACCGCCAAGGATGATCGATCTCTGTAGCATTCGATGGATCTCACCTCAATTTGATCGATCTCACCACAGTTCGATCGATCGAACCTCCTCAAGTCCGAATTGAAACAAATTCCAGCTCATTAAAAGTTGGCTCGTGTTGCAATCATTGCAAGGGCCCTAGTGCACGAATCCAGACCATTGGGTGTGACACTTGAGCCTCCTATATGAGGATTTAGAGCCATTTTAAGAGCAACATTCATCATACTTACACATCTCATATCACATATCTTAGAGAGGAGGCTAGAGACTAGAGAGAGCTTTACACATTTTGGGAGTTCTTCCATTCTTCTAGGGTTTCCATCAAGAAGGAGGTCATTTCTACCATGGAGATAGCCCTTGAGGGTTGGATGACTACTTCAATGAGTGGCTAGACATCTACTTGGGGCTAGAGTAGCCCCTAAGTTTACTTCCTAGACTTAGTGCTTTGTATATTTTTGGGGATTAACTTATAACAAATGTTTTGATCTTGAATTTATATATATATCTTGTGGTTTCTTCTTGATGTGTATGGATTAATGCTTTCAATTGATTATCTATTTCTAATCATATGTCTATGTATGCTAGAATGGATGATTCATGTGCTTTTCTCTAGATTTAATGGAATTTATGCATGCCTATGTATATGGATGAAGTTAGTCTAGTGATGATCAAAACATAGTGATTAATTGAACACTTTTGTAATTTATTTGATAGTTCACACTTGTTTCTTGATGGATTGGGCCACACCTTTAGCTTACTTAGTTTAATTTCTATGTCTTTAGTGTAGATGTAGTGTAGTTGCTTTAGATTCATAGATAGGTGGACAATCTATTCTTGTTCCTTGGTGTTCTATACTTATGAATACAAAGGGTGTATGTTTCTAGGCAGTTGTGTGTGCATAAATTGTGGTTTTATTGAATGGATTTTGGTCTCATTTGATAGGTTGTGTTTTCTACTTGAATTGGCTAGACAATCAATACTTATTTGCCATCCATGCCTAGTTTCAATTAATGTCACACACACACAAGTTACAATTCAATATCCTCATGGATATACAATTGTTAGTGTCTAGTGAAGTCAAGCTTAGTGGTGAGCTCTAGTACCCCAAGTCCTCTCCTCTATATCTTTTTCCCTACTTTCTAAATTATTACCTTTTACTTGCTTTAATTTCAATTACATTGTGTTTAATCAACTAAACAAATCATCTTTTGATCACTTGACCTATTAACCCTATATATTGTTTCCATTGCAAATGTAATGACCCGGTTATTTTCATTCCTTTCCCTTTTCTCAAATTTTCACGGATGTTTTTTTCCCGTTGATCTTTTCCTTTCTGAGTTCAGTTTCTCATCACTTAGTGTCATCTTGAGTGCTCGGGGATAGTTTTCGAAACTTTTTTCTTTGGATTGACAACTTCCTTTGAGGACCGAGTCATTTCCATATTTTTATTTTTCGGACACTATTCACTTCTTCGTCCTTTTCCCTATTTTGTCTTTTCCTCGTTTGTCACTTTGTTGGCATAACTACACCTTTTGTGTTCGGATTTGGGTTTTGACCTCATGTATCTTCATTCTAAGTGGTTTCAATGAAAAACGTATCTTTGCTTTTGCAGATAAGTACTCTGATTGCTCCCCGTGTCCATAGGGGCATGGATGCACAGTTCTTCAGAAACATTTCCATTTCTTGGGGTGTTTTTTGTAAATATCTTTTGAAGATATTTTATTTCAGGGGTTTTTAAGAAAATATTTTCAGAAGATATTTTCATTCTGGGCCAGTTGTGTAGTTTTTACTTTTTGGAAGGGCCATTGTGCAATTAATGAAAGTTACTGCTAAATGCTTTGTTTTGAGCCTAAATCCTCGTGCGGGATTCATTTTCACTTTTCGTTGAGTCGTGTACTCTTAGAATTTCCTTCTGGTTGTTTTTCTCCAGTTTCAGGATTTCTGGCCCTAGTTGCCCCCAAACTTGTTTGTGGCATATCTCTCTGCTCGGGACTCAGTTTTTTACGTCACTTCTTCCGTTGTTTATCTTTTCTCATTTTACTTCTTTTTTGTTCATGGAGTTTTGTTGTTTGAGCACGTCTACTCAAATTCCCCATTTCCGGACACGGCGGGGCCCGTTCGGGACACTTTTAGGGTTTTTCTATAAATAGGAGGTCTTAAGAGAAAAATTCAGATTTTTTCTCTCTCTCTCCTCTCTCTTGGCCGGCAGCCATGGCAGCTAAGGGGCTGCCACCCTTCTTCTTCATTTTTCGGCCATTTCGTTTAGGTAAAAAGGTGTAGTGCCTTAGCGTTTTATGCTCTTCTTGCCGTGCTCCACCTTTCCCCCTTATTAGAATCCGTTTTTGGCCATTTATTAAGTTCATGTTTGAAGTCAAGTTGTGATTTTGATGGGAATTCCTTAGGGGTTATGTTCATTGTGTTGTCCCCGAGAAAACCTAGAAGTTTCGTTGGATTTAGAGCGGTTTCGTTTTGGTTGGGATTTGAG